TATTGACTCTGTTAAACAAAAGATACATTGTGATACCTAATCATATATAAGATGCATAGTGATACCACTGTGTTACATCTTCGATCGACCACACAAACGACATYAATRTGATACCCAAACACATATATGATGCATTGTGATACCATTATAGTATCATTGGAGGACGGTGGCCGGCAGACGGTAGCCGAAAGAGAAGAGAGGAGGGAGATATATGAATTTGGGTAATCGAAATTAATAAAGCAGTGGAGTTAATTAATGAGTATTTAAATTGTAGGTATAGGCTTTAGGAGTAAATTCAAACAAACCGGCGTGTGTGTGTGTGTGTGTGTTTTTTGTGTTGTGTTGTGTCGTGGATGGGTAACGGCGTTGAAAGGTAATAACGGCAACCTGCCCAACCCAACTCCAACCCGATCTATCTCCCTCTCTCCTGTTTTTCCTCTTTCTCTCACACACATGACATGACGACATGATCATCTGGGATTTTCATTAACCTTCGTGAATTTAGGAGCACTGTTCTTCTTCATCTCCGGTCTTCTTCCATTCCCCCCTTCAATTTCCTTTCTCTTTTCATTTCATTTCTTTTCTTTTCTTTTCTTCTCTCCCCCCCTCTCTCTCTCTACGGGGGAGCGGGCTGAGGGCCTGGGAATCTCACCGCTAAACGTAGAAACACCTCCGCAGGTTCGTCAGATGGAAGGAGGTTTCTTGTGAGTTAAAATTGATCAAGACTTATATATATTTAAATATTCAGCTAATTTCATGTGGTTAACGTGCAATGTAGGGAAAAAAAGTAGAGAGAGAAAGACACAAACACACAGACAGAAGGTGGAGAGAGAGAGAGAGAGAGAGAGAGAGAGAGAAGAAGGCATCAAAGGAAGCTTTGGAGGTTCTTGCACGGCACAGAAACCTAGATCCCTTCTCCAAATCTCCTTTCTCCCTTGCCTTATGCCGTAATCCATTCGATTTCTCTCTCTTTCCCATTCAATCCTTTAAATTCCATCTCTCTCCATTTCGTCGCCGGAAATTATCTCTTGATCTCTCATGGCGTTTCTAGTTTGATAAAGGGTGCGTGTTTCTTTCTTCTTTTTACCTTATCACAATCTTTCTTGCATTTCTTGATCCTTTGATCCGTTAAGTTCCAACTTCATAGATTTTTTCCCTTTTTTAAGAAAGGAAAAAGGTAAACTATGCAATTTGGTGCTGAATTTTGGGGCTTTCTTGTTGATTTTCAGCACGATGACAATTCTGCTTGTTAGATCGGCTTTAGGTTTCATGGCTGTTGATTTTTCAGCTCCGAAGACAATTTTACTTGCTAGATCGGCTTTAGGTTTCATGGCTGTTGATTTTCAAGAAAGATGCTTCCTTTTATGCTGTTTTCCAAATAATTTAATGATATTCCTTCCTTTAACTGCTTAGATTTTATTTCCTTAACAAAATGAGTCGTCTTTATTCAATTTTGAATTTTAGACTTCTCAGAAGCATACCTGTTTTTCTTAGTTTTAGTTGAAGGAAAGCAGAATCTCACTGAGTAGCTAACTCTTTTTGCTTGTTTTGATATAAAAACCCTGCATTATTCTTTAACCCGGAAGATTAATCCCTTGCTTGATTTTCTGTTTGTGATTTATCTTTTGAAACAGGATTTCCCAAGTTGGCTGGTTGAGTTGAATCGTGCCTTCCCTGTTTAAATCATAAAGAAGCAAATTTGTGTCTTTGTAGCCTTTTAGGGTTAAGCATGCCATCTGAACTTATGGACTCACATGGTTTATCGCCATCTTCATTCTTATCTGAGGAAGTGCAACTTCCTAATGAGGTATCCTTTTGCGTTGCTTGTTCCCTTCCGTATGTGTTCAATTTTTTGCCAAGCATTTTCTTCAGTTTACTTTGGTTAGGTTTTCTTTTCCTCATGTGTATTACTTCAATTTGCAGAGACAAATTGGGTTCTGGAAGACAGATGGTATGCCTGACGACTATGGTGAGCAGCAATTATATGATTATAGATATATAATGTCCATGAAGCACTTGATCATTCACTAATTAGAGACTATGAACTCAAATGGTTAACTGGTGGCATTTTCTTTGTCTTGTTAGTCTGTTGTCTTTTGTGAAAATTATTGCAGTTGCCATCTTTGTTGACGAATCAATCACTTAACAGCTCCCTGAGAAGCATTCTGGCCAATTTCTAAATCAACCCATTTATGTTGTTATAAAATTGCACTCTACCTTTTCAGTGAAGTACTGAGATAACTGTAGAGTGAAGAGTTTAGTATCTGTTGTCTCCCAGGGCAACTAAAGATTTTGTACTTATGAAAACTGAAATGCTAAAAAAGATACCCAATTTTACTCTCTTGCAAGGGGAAGGTAATGTTCTAGTGTTCTTCCTAGATCCTTGCCTAGACAAATCATAAATGAAGTGTCCTATGTTTTTAGACAGTACTATAAATACTTCAGAATTTGGGGTTGTTACTTGTTACCCTTCATGAAGATTAGGAGCTGGTGGTTTCCAGGGAGTTCTCCAGCCTCACAGACGTCTAACAGAACAGATTCTCTAAGATTTATTGAGCTTTTCTCTTTGCGGAGCGTTTCATTATTATTTACCATTGTGCCATGCTGGGGAACATAACCCTATCTACTTTATTATCCATTCATGCATTTAGGAGATGTCGCTGTTAAAGGCGTCTGATTGATTTATTGTGCTTGTACACAAAAGCAATCTCTGCTGGTCTGACTGAGTTTAGTCATTTATCTTCTTTATCATTGTCAACTGATATTATTGCTTTGTGTATATGATCTATGTTCAGGACCAAAAGATGGCAAAGTATATGCACTTGGGGACAGTTCGCTTGCATCATTGCCCCTGGAGAAACAGACGTCATCTGAACCTCACATGTTGAAGCGCTTTGATGTCCCTAATGTTTACCTGAACCAAGACCATAAAGTTCATATTAGCTTAGAGAATAACTCTGTAGGAGCAGGGAGAACAATTGGCCATTCTATTCGGAGACCTCTTGATAATGATAGAGGAAACAGAGTTAATGTGAATATGGATCATAAATCATATCTTACGTCAGGGAACAAGTTTAATGTGATGGGTGATCACTACGAGAATGGCCTCTTTTCAAGTTCATTATCAGAGCTTTTCAGTAGAAAATGTAAGTTCTCTCCCTTCTCAATTCCTCTTTTTTCTCTATGGTTTTTTCAAATGCGTAATTCTATGAAATAGACTGTAGTTCCCAAGGCCTACCGAATTATTACGAACAAGGTTTTTGAATTTGGTTTTAGTTTGATTTATAATGTTCATGGGGCATCGCATATGACTCCAAATTAGCTTTGAGATATGGAAATAATATCTTTTTGGTCAAATACATAATGGTTGAAGTTGAAATGATTTATATTAGTACTTGTTTGTGTGTACCTTCAATAATTTTTCAGCCCTTCTATCACTAGATTAGCAAATACTATATACATGTAATTTTTCGTTTCATTTTGTCCAATTCATTACAGAAATTTATGATCCTTTTCCCCTTTCCAACTTGGTCCATTCTGCAGTGAGATTATCAGCAAATAATAGCATGTATGGTCATTCTGTTGGTGCTGCGGCATCCCACTATGAAGAAGAGGAGCCATTTGAATCCCTTGAAGAGATTGAGGCCCAAACTATTGGGAATCTTCTCCCAGATGATGATGATTTGCTTTCTGGAGTGACTGATGGGCTTGACTGTAAGGTGCAACCAGGCAGTGGAGATGATGTGGAAGAATTGGATTTCTTTAGTAGTGTCGGAGGGATGGAGTTAGGAGAAGATGGTGGACAAAGAAATTATGAAATTTCTGGAGGAAGTTCTGCTAGTCAGCTGGGGCCATCTAGTGGTGCCATGGGTGAACACCCTCATGGGGAACACCCATCAAGAACACTTTTCGTCAGAAATATCAACAGCAACGTGGAAGATTCTGAGTTACGGATCTTGTTCGAGGTATGCTTCTTTCTTCTTTGGCTTGTTAAAGAGATATCACATATCTGTTAGTATATATTTGAGTTGATGGGTTATGGCCATAATAGAAACCATAATTGTGCAGCAATATGGAGATATCCGCACTCTCTACACAGCCTGCAAGCATCGTGGCTTTGTGATGATATCATACTATGATATAAGAGCAGCCCGAAGTGCCATGCAAGCTCTTCAGAACAAACCATTGAGGCGTAGAAAGCTTGACATTCATTACTCAATTCCAAAGGTTGTTTTTGCTTTCTTTTTTAATCTTTCTATGTATGATTTTGCAACTTAAGGCTGAATCGGTGATCACTGTCTTCTTGTGCCCAAAGGCTACTTGGTTTTTCAGATTTATTAATTTGTCAGTGTGCAATGATATATTTAGATAGACTTCAGAAGTTCTAGAACTAATCAAACAGATTTTTGATGATGAAATTTATCTATAACTTTACTGTCTCAGCTAGTGGCTGAAAAGGGACTAGGATACCAGCTAGGCCGGTAATCTCTCAAATGATTTCTATCGGTACATGATGCCTATCATTTGACATGTGCATCAGGTTATCTGCAATATGTGCTATAGAACATTGTTTACTTATTATTCTTACTGGCCATTACTTGCGAGATCTACTAAAGATATTTCTGTTAGATCAGAAATAAAATGAAATTCAGAAAGGAAAAGAAAAAATGACTTTGTACTTTATCTATATGAGATGCAAATAGCCTATACCTTGATTAGGTTCTCTGAAGCACTCCTTAAATTAATTATTCTAACAAATATTATATGCTTTAGTCCATGTGTTGTCATAATGAGTCTCCTCAGAAGTCTTAATGTTTGAAGACTGAAATACATTTCAATATGTCTTCTGGAGCATAAATGGACTGTTCATGTTATACGAGGTAGTTAGCTCAAATATATTAAAGTACATTTATTACAGTTGGAGTGCCAGGATGGTTGCTAGCTATGGTTGACCGTGGATCTTCTTAGGACATGTAAAAATATTTGTGGTTGATTTATCAACACAATTTTGCATTATGCATCATCTGTGTCACTGAGGCATCAGTGAAAAGCCTTGAAATTGAATGGGACTGAAGCTGAATTTCCCAGCCACTCTGATGTTAACAAAGCTGACAAGTGCTCTAAAATGGATGATTTGTTGGTCATTCTTGAAAGCTTTATTTTCTTGATGGACACATGGCACAAAGGAGAATCCTGATGATGAAGATGTTTTAAAGTTTGACTGATTCACTAGATTTATTTATTTCTTATTGAACATTTCATATTGCAGACAATTTACATCCAAAATTCCTCAAGACATTATCTATTGTGTGTTTTATGTGATTTCATCCTACTCAGTTCCTGCGTTGATCATAGTTTGAACTTGTGTGAAATAGAAAAGCTGGTGAAGTGTCTTGTTAAGAATGTGAAGTTTGGATAATGCATAAACCTCATTCTACTAAGTTGTCTTCTCTTGTTGTTGATTGCTTTTTTTTTTCTTCTCCTTCTTTTGATAGATGCTATGACTAGTGTTGCTCACTCTCTCTAAATATATTGGTTCTTTTCTTTTTGTTAGGACAACCCTTCAGACAAAGATATCAATCGAGGCACCGTTGTGATATTTAACCTCGATTCCACTGTTTCTAATGATGAACTTCATCATATTTTTGGCGTCTATGGTGAGGTTAAGGAGGTAAGATTGATTTTCCATTTTTGTGTTTTTACCTTGTCTGACGGCTACATTATTTAGTTGGATAATCCTTGTTCTGGAGTGCAGATCCGTGAAGCTCCACAAGGAAGTCGTCACAAGTCCATAGAGTTTTATGATATTAGAGCTGCAGAAGCTGCTTTGCATGAATTAAACAAGAGTGACATTGGAGGAAAACAATTGAGGCTTGAACCTAGCCAGCCTGGTGGTTCTAAACGGTAGGACTCTCTTGGTATAGCTGTTATTCTTATCTGTTTATTCTTTGCTTTGACTGGCTTGCCTGAGATATTGAGTTTGTAAATTTTGCCTCACTTCAGCAAAAGATAATTTGTGTTGTCAACTTTGCACTTGTGCAAATGTAACTAGTAAAGTACTGCAAATGCTTGCTTTTACCAAAATCTCTAACTTTGACACGTGTCCTAAAAGGTAAGTACAATTGTTGTGAAATCAAGTTCTGGATAGAAAGTGTTGGCGGAAGTTTGAGGGTGAAACAGAGAATCCAAAACCAAAACTATCGAGTTACTCTTTTAAGATACCAAAATATAAAAGTACCTGGAGGTCCCAGGTTCAAATCCAAGGAGGATTAAAAATCCCCTTGTGGCCATGGAGGTTCAAATGCGGTGACTCTGGGCTATCCGCAAAGCAGGTGGTCGCCCTGGGATTAGTCGGCTCGCATAGCAGGTTGGATATCCAGGTTAATAAAAAAAAAAAAGATACGAAAATACAAGATAGTTAGGAGCCCACTACTCTGATCTCTAAAGAAATTTAATCCACCAAGATCAAAGGAAAAGGGATCACTCAGATAATCTAGTCTCGAAGGAAATTAGTCCACCAAGATTAAAGGGAAAGGGAAACTCAAAACTACCAAGATCAAAGATATCTAAAGGAAATAAAGATTTCAGGAAATAGATAAAAATCCATTCATTTCATATAAATCATCAGATGCCTTTTACAACTCTGAAGCGAGAAATGGACAACAAACCCTAGACAACATAAAATAATGGCTGGAAAATAAGGATTTATCCTATTAGCACATAAATTTCAGCCAACAAGAGGTACAATGTATAAGCATAGAAGCTCCATAGTACAATAAACACATATAAAAGCTCCCCATGTCCCACAAAAAGAGCCCTGAATCAAAGAAGAATATAAAGACAACTTTCTAGACAATGTTACACATGAATTAATACAATGTAACATGACCCTTTATCAAGTCTTTGGAAAGCAAATAGTGATAAAGGAAGAAGGGTAATAAAGGACCATCAAGTTTTTATCTTTTAAATTTGAAAGATGACTCTTTCTGGAATTGTAGACTGGACTCTTTCTATGGATGAGGTGTAGGAAATACTTTTATTTCCCAACATCTAAATGGTATTTAGCCCTATCTGCTTTCTAAATTAGCCATTCTATCTTAATCTGCGGGCTGAAGTTTGATCAATATTTTAAGGCTGAAGTTTGATCAATATTTTAAGGCTGAAGTTTGATCAATATTTTACATTACATTCTTATCATGTCTTAACTTTGGCAGCGTAAACAGTCCATTCCCAGAGCTGGATCTTGATGAAACTAGTGCCTTGTTGCAAATGTTTAGCCCTCCTGATTTTAGAACAGAAATTTCTGGTATGATATTTTATGGATCACAGCACTCATTGTCATAATATAAACGAATATACCTGACAATGTTTTTACAGGACCAGTTTCACATGTTCGAGTTACACCTGGTTGCCTGGACAACGAAACTCTCTTGGGTCTTCATTCTGGAACTGCACCCCCTGCCACTCAACTGTTAGACACTGAAATCCAACATGGCATCCCATCTAGCGTCTCTAAAAGTTTTTCCTCTATTATTGGAGTGGAATCCGGTGGCATGCCATCCAGTTTGTTGGAGTCTGCTCAGTTACAGAACCAACTGAAATATGATTTCAGGAGCACATCAAATTACCACCCTCATTCACTTCCAGAGTATCAAGATGGCTTAACCAATAGCATCCTATGCAATTCTCCTAGCAGCATGGCTGCAAGTTTAAATTGCAGAATGTCTGAAAGGGCTGGAAATAGGCAGTTTAACAGAATTGGTGGCTCAATTGGACGCTCACTTGAACTTAATGACAGTGGTAAGAGGTGTCTTAAGTTCCGTGTATACTTTAATTCATTATCGTTGTCTTTGTTACCAGTGGAAGGCTTTGTCATACTGAGAGTGAAACGTGATTTATGGAATGGAAAGGGAATATATAACAGACTCCTCCCTGTCCCATGAGAATTACAACAAACGATGTTTTGGCACCCAACTTTAGGAGCTTTTTCATCCATCTAATTAATCTTCTTTTGCTTAAAATGGTGTTCGAAGTACGTTTTTGCAAAAAAGAAAAAAAGATACATCAAATAACTCTTAGAAATGTGTGCCAACTAGTAAATGTTGCGATCTTCATGGATGAATTGTCATCTTGGTTGACTTGTGCTGTTATCAGGACTGTCAGAACAGTTTGTTTGACTCACTGGTTATCTCCCTTCCTCAGTATTTGGCCTCTCTGCAAATGCAAGTTGTCCCCCTGCCACTCACCATTACATGTGGAATCCTTCTCATCAGCCGCAGCCCCATAACATGATGTGGCCCAATTCACCGTCATTAATCAATGGAGTTGGTAATGCTCACAGTGCTCCCCTAGTGCATGCTCTTCCTAGAGCACCGGCTCATGTGGCAAACACTTTTCTGCACATTAACAACCAGCATGTGGGATCAGCACCATCTGTCAATCCTTCCATTTGGGATAGACGACACTCTTATGCAGGGGAATCCCCTGACGCATCAGTTTTCCATCCAGGTTCTCTCGGGAATATGAGGGTCCCGGGTAACTCACTGCATCCTCTGGATTTTGTTTCTCATAATATCTTTCCTCGTATGGGGGGAAACTCTATGGACCTGCCAATTCCATCGAAAAACATTGGATTAGCTTCCCATCATCAGAATAATGTAATGTTTCCTAGTAGAGGACAAATGATTCCTATGATGAGTTCATTTGATTCTGCTAGTGACCGGGCTAGAAGTCGTAGAAATGAAGGAAGTTCAAATCAAGCTGACAACAAGAAACAATTTGAACTCGATCTGGACCGTATAATGCGAGGGGAAGACAGAAGAACGACTCTAATGATCAAGAACATCCCTAACAAGTAGGTTTAAGCACAACATTTTATCTTTGCTATTTGATCAGATGTTTTGATACTTATATCTGAAAATGCCCTACATTGAAATCTGATATAGGTCGAGTTTGGTGTTTCCATTATGGATGCACCGATTTTATATCTATGCAAGTGTCAAGTAAACAGATGCAACAGCTAAAACGGTTGTGAAAGTTTAATAACGATCATCTTATATAGTTTTAAGGATGAGTGAAGAATGTGAAAGACAAGGATTAAACTTTCTTAGTAAATACTTGCATCTTGCACATGGGGAAATACGTACCGCCATGATATGGTGCATATACACAATGATACTTCAGGTAGCATGCATGCTTCCCGGAGTTTGACTGATAATCTGGAGTATTAGTGTATACATGTGCCATTATGTTAAGGTTTACAAACGACCATGTTTAGTCCACACAACATCATCAATTTGGAAACTCGAATGAAAATCATAGTGACCAAAGCAAAGCTGCGAGTTCCTCTTTGTAAGCAAAGATCATGTAGGAGAAGCCAGTGGATTGTTTTTTTCTTCCTGTAGATCTTGTACTCTGTGTTTGAGTCAATGTTGTGTGTTGGGATTGAGTATGCTTGTTTGTTGGCTTATTTATGTCTAAAAGCTGCTACATATCTGAAAGATTTGTTGTTGAATTTTTTTAATTTTTTGTTAATCTTATTTAATGTTGGAAATTGCAGGTACACTTCTAAAATGCTGTTGGCTGCAATTGATGAACGCCATCGAGGAACATATGATTTTATCTACTTACCCATAGATTTCAAGGCTAGTGATTTTTCTGCATCAATATAATTTTTTAATGTTATGGTGCCACAATATTGTTAATATACTTTTGCTGTCTTGTGTGAACGCAACCATGATTTTTGGCTGATAGAATGAAGACTGACAATGCTCTGTTCTTCTCCATTTTTTCTTGGCAGAACAAATGCAACGTGGGTTATGCATTCATCAACATGACTGATCCTTCCCTTATTATTCCGTTCTACCAGGTCTGTGTTTATAAGGCTTTCAGTGGATGAAAATATTTTGGGTGACTTGTTTTTGGATAAATAATAGGCTCAGGCCAATCACTGAATGATATTGATGCAACCTTTTGCTACAAGTACAAAAACATGTATGGATGCACCAATATACCTGTGATCACAGGGACTGTTTCAGGGTTATGGTCTTTCGAGGATGCATATACCTCATTTGATGCTTAATAAACATAGAATAGTCTAAAACCCCAGCTGCAATTACAGGCATTTAATGGGAAGAAGTGGGAGAAGTTCAACAGTGAGAAGGTAGCATCCCTTGCATATGCTCGCATTCAGGGAAAAGCTGCACTGATTGCCCACTTTCAGAATTCAAGTTTGATGAATGAAGATAAACGCTGCCGGCCCATTCTTTTCCACACGGATGGTCCAAATGCAGGTGATCAGGTATGACCTAACATATACATTATGCTTTTGTGTACAAAATTAGAATTAATCATTTTTTTTCTTTAGACCAAATTATAATAATTTGGTTTATGTTCATCTTGGTTTAATTTCCTATGCAGGTGCCTTTTCCAATGGGTGTTAATGTTCGCTCAAGAGTGAACAAAAATCGAAACAGCACAAATGAGGAAAGCTCACAAGATGTGGGAAATGGTGAGGTGTCTTCAAATGGGGACTCATCGTCAGGTTCCACCAAGGATTTTGAGTGAGAAAGGCCTGCTGCTCCTTTTTGTCATGCTAACCTTCTAGATAACAGGTAATTAATTGAAGGAAGCCCACCTCAAATTTTCTAATGTACATTGAGCCGGGGTGGGCTGAGGGAAGAGAGCAGGTTAACATTGAAATTTCTGTAATTGTCTTGTGGAGAAATCAAAAGAAAGAAAGAAAGAGCAACAGGTGAGGGGAGCTTCTAAATTTTGGATTGTTTCTAGATTTTGATGAATTAAGGATTGAGGAGACATATACATAGCATATCAGTTGACCGTGGGGGGGAAATCTATATGGTTTTTCTTCCAAGAATCCTGTTTTTGACTATAGAGTTAGGGAGGGGACCTGCCTGCTTGTCATTTCTGCTTTTTGTCCATGTTCATTTTTAATTTGACGTCTTTCATTTTGTTTTGTTTGGGAGGAGCTTGCTTGCATGTAATCCTTGTTATTTTTTTAAAATGAAGTTACTTAACAATTTGTAGCAGCATATAGCTATATTAGTCTGCTTGAATTCTGTTTGCTGTTTGAGAGCGAGAGAGAGAGAGAGAGCGCTAGCTGTGGCTCTTGTTGGAAGTCAAATTCCAACAAATCCCATGAAGCAAAACAAGAATCGGAGGCTACCCTTGATGCTACTATTCAAAAGTGGCAGGAGGCAGCATATCCATTCCAACTGCATTTTTTCAGCTTCCCAATTCATTTATGTAGAAACTTGTTAAAATAGAGAAAAAATCATTGCTCACTCAAATTCTCTATATTGTTACGTAAAATATGGAAAACATGAAAAAACTTCAAAAACTAGAAAATATTTTAATAATATAATTAATATCGAAATCTTAAAATAAATAACTTGTTCTAAAGAAGCTAGGATATTTTAATAATATAATTTTTTTTCTTTTTAATTAAAGAAATGCCTCATTGTGCTCCTTCAACTAATTGTTAAACGTAAACGTCTGCTAATACAATACAAATTTTCACAAAATAAATAGTAATAATTACAAAGATGAATTGGTGTCAGTTTATTGCTTAGTTTTATGAGGAAATTGTCCTTTAATTAATTTAACAAACACTCTTCTTCTCCATCTGTATCTGTTTTGTTAACCATAATTAAGATCGTTGCTGAGAGTAGTTGCAAGGAGGCTCAGCTCTTCATGGCTTTCCATCCTAATCCTTTTTTCACTCATATCCCAGGTCACTAATTTATTAATATTTTTTTTTGTGTGTGTATATATATTAACATCAATTAAACGTAACAAGATGGATCTTTTATCAAATGTATTTAACTTTAAACCAATTTATATACTTGAGATCTTTAAAAATGTAATCATATTCCACTTTCTTTCAAGATAGCTACAAAGAAACAGAGCAGCACCATTCTTTTGGTTTATATAGTCAAAATGATAAATATATGTTGTTGATTTTCATGTGAAGGGATTTGCACACATGATCTGGGGTTTGCTACAGTTGCTGCTATTACATCTAAAATCAGTTATGATGAACACAACCATGAGCATTGGCGACCCTAGCAAGCATGCATCTACGTATTTCGTGTTGAGTGTCTGTTGGTGGTGAAATTAGTTGTGAGCATGCCGATAAGTAAATATGTACTTGCCCTTGGAGGTTGAGCATTGAACCAGGGACCACTGTTACTGTCAAAACTCATAGAATCCCCTTGTAAATTAAACATGTGATTTAAGATCTTGATTGTTAAACTACTTTACAATAATACTACTATTTATGATCAAACAGATGGTTACTGAAATGCTTGCACAGACCATACCTTAAAGCAAATCCCAATCCTGGTTTAAAGGAAGCATCAAAAATCAAAAGATACATAAGGTAAAAATAGAAAAAGAAGACATCCAAAAATTGGAAAAACAAATGTAGTAGAGCCATTCTAGTGTGTGTTGACTGGAAGACTTTTTGGCTTGCACACCAGAATTTGGAAAAAGAAAAACAAACGTTTCCAGGTTAGTTGACTGGAACCCCTTTTCGCGTATAACGCACCATAACCTTGCCTTTGACACCAACAACCATCGCGTTCCAGTCGGTTTCTGGAAAAGGAGAGATCAATTCCAACTCAAAGTTTCTCAACAAATGGCTCCATATTGCTTTTATCTGCAGATAAGCAAAGGGTTCACCAAGACATCCATGTCTGCCACCACCAAAAGATATATATGAGAATGCTCCTGCTGCCTTGTCTTCCTCTCTATCAGCATCAAATCTTTCTGGGTCGTAGGTGTCTGGATCCTTGTAGATGTGTGGGAGTCGATTTGCAAAGGCAGGAGATGTGGCAACTATGTGCCCCTTTGGAATGTCATACTCTCTCCCTTCCTTGGTTGTCACACTGAAATCGCTGTGTGAGCTACGCAGAAGCATGATTAGAGGTGGATGAAGTCTCAAAGCTTCCTTTATGCATCTGTACAACACTTCCATCTCTGACAATATGTCATGATCAACCTTGTTACCATGCTTTTCCATCAGCTTCTTTTGCTCATCAACCACCGCAGACATGTACTTGTTGTTGGCTAGTAGGTATGCTCCCGTCCATGTTGAGGTGATTGAACTTGTATGCTGCCCTGCAAACAGAGCAGCAATCAGAAGTCCAGTGACCTCAGATTCGGTTGTTGGCCGACCATTTTTGTACTTGGACTCAATAAAGCATTGCAACATGTCATTCTCTGACTTGCCAGTTTGTTTACGGGCAGCTATGATGCTTGCAAAGATTTCTGCAAGCTTCTTGCGGGCTTGGTCACGACGACGGTGGGCTGGGATGGGCAGATAAGGAAATATCACACTGATAGGGAGCATGCCATTGTCAAGGTCATGGAAGAGGGCCGACACATCATCAAAGAGCTTGTTACGAACTTCTTCACCCAATAGACATCTACTGGCTGTGAGGATGATTAGGTGCTCTAGTTCATATTTTAGGTCCACTTCACCATTATCCCCCCATTTGGAGAAATATTCCTGCACATTGCCAACCATTTACAACCATGATCAAAAGAAATACAGCACAAATAAATATGCTTAAATCTTCTGGGCATTTTTTTTTCCTTAAGAAAATTAATTAATTATCCATGTGTTCTTTTTCTTTCTGTTTTTAGGTTAATAAGAGAAAAAGAGCAGTCACACATATAAGAGGGAGAAGGCTCTAGAAAGTAGAAATAACTTGGAGAAAGTAAAGTCTGTCAAGTAGCAACACCATTTCATTAACATTACTAGATCATTAGTGGATTTGTGAAATCAGTGAGTCTTGAATGCAAGATATTAATAATAGTAGATCAACAATACATAATGAACAATTGAAAAACACAAAATTGCATGATTGAAAAGAAAGAAACTAGGAAAAAGAAAATATAATACCTCAGCTTCAGTAACCATCTGATCCACATACCCCTTAAGTTTAGTGACTCTGAGAGACTCGGTAAAGAACCTAAACTGTTCCTGCCTTACTGAATAATCCACATCGAAAACAACGCCGGGCCCAAAAGTTGGCACATTGAACTGGTAGACCTCTTGCTGGCTGAGATCCGACTCCGAAGCCTTAAAGAAGTGGGCTGAAACTTCGGGTCCGATCAAGAAAGTGATGTTCTTGTTCAACAAATTTAGCGTGAAAACGCTCCCTAGCTTAGGGTACTCTTGCTTCAGCATTATTACCGGTCCTTTCAAGAAGCGGAGCAATCCACCTACCAACGGCCACGCTTTGACCAGCGGCGGCAATCGTTTACGGGATCTGGGGATTAAGAAGGCGGATATGATTTTGGCGGCGAAGAGAGTGGCGATGAGGAGGACGGCTACATTCAGGAACTTGCTGTTTACTTCCATCATGCGATTTGAATTGAATAGAGATCTGAAGATCAGGGTTGGTTAACCCTAGAAGAAAGAAACCCTTTTCCGGAATGGTATTCAAAAAGAGGTTGTGATGTGTGAAACGCAGCCAAGAACAACACCCCTAGGTACCGAGTGGCCTACATCTAATCCAATAAGTATTACAACACTTGCAATTTTTCATATTACAAAATCTTATCATAAAATAAAAAATATTGGGTTTATAACGTTTAACAAGTCACGTTACTTTATTGTCATTAATATGTTAATAACCAAGTACTTTATTTGATAAAAATGAAAACAAAGATCGAGAGTCTTAATCGTTAAGTGAGGTTCACAACTCCTACCATTATTGTCTTAATCATTCAAAGCTTCATCCCAAATATTTTTTTCTTGATTTATCTTAGATCAACATCATATACTTAAAAAACCAATCACCAAGCCAACAATATTAACCAATATACTTATCAAGTTAGTGACCAATTTCACGCTCACTCATCCAAAGAATCCCATAATTACCCAACTATTTCTCTCACAATATTATCTCGCTCTAGATTTCTATCTCAACACGTCGTCGTCATTGTCTTAACAAGTATGCTATCGCCATCCTCACTTATCGTTGCTTTTAAGCCCTAAACAATGTTGTCGTTGTCATGGCCCCTAATTGCCCATCCTTTAAATTCATTTTCTTATCCTTAAACCCAAATCATGCAAGCTCCTCCCTGATCAATGTGTTCTCCAAATTGCAAATTTCTCCCCAAACCGACCCCTATGCATCTTCCAAACCTCTTAAGCACATCATATATGTTATGATTTTTTTATTCATACTTAGGGGCTGTTTGTTTGCCTCTTAATGGCGACATTAAGAGGGAGCCTCTTAATCGGTAAGAGGCAGGGGTTGTTTGGCAAAAAAAAAATGAACCTCTTAATGATGACAATTACCTCTTAACGATTTTACATCCAAGGGGTTGCCTAATGGTTCAGAGCCTTATTTTTCCAGGATTACCCCTCCCCATATCTCCTTCAGCATCATCGTTCCTCCTCCTCCTCCCACGCATCGTTCCTCCTCCCAAATGATCTCGCCAATCTCTCCATCTCACATACCTGCCTCCTTTTTCATTCCCTCTGCTTCTCCGACAATGGCATCGGCGACTAGGCCCGCTTCTGCTTCTCCGACGGTGACATCGACGACTCAGGTCATCGATGCTTCTTCCCTTATGTTTTGAACTTTGTCAAATGGATCAAGATGTTCTTGATCACTGTGTTTTCCTTTTATGCTAAATCATTTTTTGCATTTACATCGAACCTGCTGTATTCTTTTCTTCTTCCTACTTGTTTGGAAATGGATTCTCATGTTCAAGATGGAATCGATTCGCAGATATAAATGGGCTTTGCAAAGGTGCAAAATTTTTAAAGGATGTTAAGCAAGTACTCATTTTCCCTTATATGAAATCCATGCCAATTATCAAATTTACAACTGTTTATTTTATATCATGTTCTAACTTATATGACAATTGTTCCTGTTGCTATGATAGGTTGCTCAGGTGTAAGCTTCCTGGATGTAATCTCAAGGCTAGTCCTCATATTGAATCAAGGCTCAAAACATTAAAGAAGCACTATGATACAATAACAGATAGGAAAGATGCATTTGGTATAGAGTGGAAAGGTACATAGTGCACATTAATATGCTATGACGATGATGTATGGGATGAGTGGGTGAAGGTAACCACATCAAACAAAAGAGTGTTGAGGGATTGAGAAATAAGCCATTTCCTTATTATGATGAGTTGTGCCTGATATTTGGAAAAACCTGAGGCAATCAGAAGAGTGTTGAAGATGCATCAGATGCTAACAGAGCCCTAGACGTGTATGAGACTAGTGAAAAAACTATTATATTGGAATTTGATTGTTATGTTTTTGTTTATTCTAGAATTTGAACAAGTAATGTTATGTTGGTTTGGATTAATATGAAATCTTGTTTTGAACAAGTAATGTTATGTTTGTTTGGATTAATATGAAATATGTAGTTACATTTTCAAAGTAATTGTTTTATTCAGATATATGCCAAACAACTATATTTCATTCAGTACTAAATCATACAGAGGGTTAAAATGGTAATTTGTTGTCATTCAGAGAACATTTACCAAACAACCATATTTCATTCATCATTTAACCATTCTGACTACTTAACCATTCTGCACAAAACCATTTAGCAACTGCCAAACAACCCCTTAATGAATGTCCATGAAGAACTCGCACATCATAAACGTATATTCATTCTATATCTATATTATATTTATGCCTTGTATCAATTATGTCATGTCTTAGGGGCCGTATACCAAACACTTACCCGGTAAACGCTTACCGGATAAGATTTTAGTCCACCAAAACGGTATCGTATGCAATAATTTATCCGGTAAGCGCTTACCGTGGTAAGAGTCATCGACTTCACTTATCGGGTAAGACTCTTGGTCCTTGTCTCGCTTTTACCGAATAAGATTATGATCTTTACCATATTCATCCGGTAAGGTAAAATGACTTGGTGTTCACTTACATTAAGCGTTTGGTAAACGGCCCGTTAGTCTTATTGATAAAATTCAAGTCATGCACCCTGAATTTATAAACTTTCTTGGGCTCCAAACATTTAATATGGCTTTGCTTATTATTCTTGTTGTTGAACCCCTTGTATTCTATGTAACCGAGCCGTGTATTTGTGAAATTCAACTTGGAATCATAGAAGAGATCACCCAAATCACAACATCCTCCGGTCCCCTTGAGATTGCTGTTTTTAGTATTATGTTTCATATATAATCATGGCCTAGGGGTTTGAGCTATAGGAAAATGTTATAATGAAAAAAGTGTTATGAAATTAGATTGTTATTTCTTATATTTAAGAGATTTGGATCCAAATATGATACCCATTGGATCAAGCCTACGACTACTAGCATAAAAGAGGCAAATAGCTCCGGCTATGGGCCTGGGCTAACAACCATGAATTGAATTTGTTCCATTTTTCCTGGTTCTTTCCTTTTCCTTTTCCGGTGTGAGTGTGATGAATGATGATGATGATGATGATCAACGACGGGTGGATGCGGCTACTTTGCCATGGTATCAAAGATCTTGACTGGTTTTCGAACCTCAAACCCTGGTCAAAATCCATCCTAAAGGTACTACTGCTACATACCGATCTACTCTCAAACTACGTTGCCGGTGATGGCGATATATTCGAGTAAAATTGAATTTTTAAGATGTTACTAGATATGCCTTTGATTTGGTAGGAGTGGTTACGGTGAATACACAGAAACTGTTTTTGGTTTATTAGCTGAACATGGCAGGCAATGTTGTGGCTGGGCTGGCTGTGTGACAACAAGTATTAATGGGTGCAGCGTTATCCGTCCACATCCCATCTGCTATTACCATTTTTCATTAATTATCAGTACGTACTGTTTGCTTATTAGTTGGATGTATTAGTTGGATGTCTCTTTCTTTATTGTTAAATTTACATTCTATACTAATACATCCCCCGGAGTGATGACAACGTGGGTATTCACATATTTGCCAACCAACCGTCCCCGATCCGCATTTATTCCACTTCATTCTATTTTGCTGTTATACTATACACACATATATACATATATATATATATATATCTCATACTTTCTTATTTAATCAACTTATATCAAAATATTTCTGCTTGCTCTATACTATACACATATCTAGCTTGCACAAGCTTATCCCTCTCTGTGTTTGGGAGTGTAATCCATTTCTCATGGGTATTAAAGAAATCAAGTCGCCTGAAGTTTTGCCTGAGACGCCGCCGATGGTGACGATGGAAGAAAATCCTGAGTCATTAAAAAGTAAGAAGCTTGGTATGTATTTTGTTGAATCCGACAACAGGCGTTCCCCTTTTGCCGGAGGTTACACCACACTTGGTACTACACCAGTGAATATCCATGGCAAGCCTATCACCGATCTCTCCAGAACCGGAGGCTGGGTTGCTGCCTTCTTCATTTTCGGTAACCAACAACACTAGTACTATTTCATTTATAAAAGAAGATACACCTAGAGATATTTTCCCCATTCCCTAGGTAGTAGGTAGGGACGACTTTTGAGCTAATGGGTTCAAATCCCCATTTTCCCCTTGAATATTCTGGAAAAGGGAAAGAAGATCGTACCTTGCTGTTTTTGTCCTCTTGATCTTGCAAAGCAGTCATCACTGACTAATGGATATCAATGATTCTTGAGTGCAGGGAATGAAATGGCAGAAAGAATGGCTTATTTTGGGTTGTCGGTGAACATGGTAGCGTTTATGTTCTATGTGATGCATCGACCTTTCACTAGTTCAGCCAATGCTGTCAACATATTTTTGGGAATATCACAGGCTTCCTCAGTTCTTGGTGGTTTTCTGGCTGATGCATATCTTGGTCGATATTGGACTATTGCTGTTTTCACTACCATCTATCTTCTGGTGAGACATCTTAAACCCAATTATAATTAGAGAATTCCTGCAAACATGGACTTGAACCTTTGTTGATATCTCTTTCTATTTTGAAATCTTTTTTAAGGGTTTAACAGGAATAACATTATGTGCCACGTTGAATATGCTGGTACCCAATCAAAATGACTGCAATCAGCTTTCCCTGTTATTAGGAAACTGTGAACCTGCAAAACGATGGCAAATGTTGTATCTCTATGCAGTCCTTTATGTGACTGGCTTTGGAGCAGCTGGTATCAGGCCTTGTGTTTCTTCTTTTGGAGCAGATCAATTTGATGAGAGGAGCAGAGATTACAATTCCAACCTTGACAGGTTCTTCAACTTCTTCTACCTGTCTGTCACTCTGGGGGCAATTGTGGCATTTACTGCTGTAGTCTACATTCAAATGAAACATGGATGGGGCTTTGCCTTTGGAGCTTTGGCCATAGCTATGGGAATCTCCAACGTGGTATTCTTTCTTGGTACTCCTTTGTACAGACACAGGTTGCCTGGAGGTAGCCCTCTCACTCGTGTGGCTCAAGTCCTCATTGCTGCTTTTCGGAAAAGAAATGCTTCCTTTGACACTAGTGAATATATTGGCCTGTATGAGCTTCAGGGGACAAGATCTGCAATTAAAGGCAGTGGTAAGATAGCTCATACAGATGGTTTTAGGTAAGCATGGTGTTGTCTTATACATATTTCCATATATATGTATATATGAATGTAAGCTAAGTTTGAATATTGTATAGATGGTTGGACAAAGCAGCTTTGAGACTGAAGGAAGATGAGATGAATACGAGTCCCTGGCAGCTTTGCACTGTGACGCAAGTGGAAGAAGTAAAAATCCTGTTGAAACTGATTCCGATTCCGACCTGCACCATAATGCTAAGTGTGATCTTAACAGAGTATTTGACTCTATCAGTACAGCAGGCATACACATTGAACACTCGTATGGGGCATCTGAAACTTCCAGTAACATGCATGCCCGTTTTTCCAGGCCTCAGCATATTTGTGTTGCTAGCCCTTTACTACACCGTGTTTGTTCCATTATCGAGACGCATCACGGGTCATCCACGTGGGGCATCTCAGCTTCAGAGGGTGGGGCTTGGTTTGGTGATTTCAATCGTATCTATAGGATGGGCTGGGGTTTTCGAGAGATACAGAAGGAATTATGCGATAAGACAAGGGTATGAGGGGAGTTTTCTGAGTGCAATGCCTGGTTTGAGTGCTTACTGGCTTTTGATTCAGTACTGTCTGATTGGCCTGGCTGAGGTGTTTTGCATAGTGGGATTATTGGAATTTCTATATGAAGAGTCCCCAGATGCAATGAAAAGTATAGGTTCAGCTTATGCTGCTGTAGCTGGTGGTTTAGGCTGCTTTGTGGCGACTATATTGAACAACGTTATCAACTCTGTAACAGGAGGGGGGGATGAATTAGAGAAAAGACAAAATTCGTGGCTGTCCCAAAACATAAATACCGGAAGATTTGACTATTTCTATTGGCTTCTTACGGGTCTGAGTATCATCAATTTCTGTGTGTTTGTGTATGTATCCCGCAGGTACAAGTACAGGGTCAAAGCTTAACACTACAGATTATGAGTAGGAGATATGATTGATATTCAGAAATATATATTATATACACACATTACTTGTGGACTACCAAATTGTATATATGTTATTGCAATGAATTGTAAAGAAATCCCGATCATGTTCCTTCCTTCCTATATCTCTGTAACATGTTCAAGAAAATAAAAATAAAAAGAAGCTTTTGAAACTAAATTTGACACAGAACATTTGCCAAAAAAAAAAAAAAAAAATTGGAAATTAATATTGATATTCAACCACCTGATTTTTGAATGTGGAATTAAAAAAATATTTTTGATTTTTGTTCTTTAATATTTGCAGCATTCCTTTTGCTAAAAAAACCTATAAGAAAACAACATATTAGATTCTATATTTGATAATATATATATATATATATATATATATATATATTATGTTTTATGTTTCAAAATTTATTAGGATATACCTAATTTCATAATGAAACCTAAGATATAATTAAACATAATGAACTAAAACATACTATAATCAACAAAACGTAAAGAAACATTTTGAATACTAAATCAAAATTTTGTACCATTAAATTTTACGAATGAAATTGTTTCACCATTTTATCTACCTAACTCACGTGACTCCTTGTCACCTACAATGAGTTAGGTATATCATAATCAATTATAAAATATAAAACATACGATAATCAACTAAAAATAATGAAACAATTTAGATACTAAAGAAAATATTTTGTATCATTAAATCAATAAACGAAACTGTTTCACCGTTTATAGAACGAACTCACGTGACTGCCATTAAAGAAAGACCGATTGTCATGTAGTGTTGAACGATGAAACATTTTTAAAAGATTTAACGAGACATTTCGAAAACTGAATATTTTTTTTATTTAATGAACGTTTTTCATCCATAAAACGTTCCGAAATATTGTGAAATTATTTGCTGGTCATTATTGAACATGAAATTAGTTTCATTACTCAAAGTACATATATTTTTCAATAAAACGGAACACATATTTCATATTCTGCTGCTTTTAAAATTCATATTTTTATAAAATATAATGGTAAAACATAATAAAACATATTAATGGTAAAACATTTATATTAAAAAGAAATGATTTACCTCATTCTATATGAAATGTTTCTATTATTACGTTTTCAAAATTAACATTATTTATTGCCTTCCAATATTGAGGATTTTACAGATTTGCCTTTTTTTTAATTAAAAATTAAACTTTTATTATTATTATTTCTTTATTTCCTAATATAAATTTATTTAATCTTGACCATTGATCAAGAAAATAGATGAATGAGATTGGTTTATAAGGTTTTCACAAATGATGGTGGTTTGCAATTGATCCCTCCTCCCCATATATATACATATATATATATATATATATATATGTATATTGAATCTCATCCATTAATTAATCATGGTATGTATGTATATATATAGTTATCCGATTTACACTCTCTGCCACTGTTGTCACCCCTATTCCTCCGATGTCTCAACTGCATTTTCATGTCTTCCTATGAAAAGATCTGTTAATTCATTCATCATCAATTCATCCATACATCATCGATCATGGCTTTGTTTGCTATGGTGAGTATATTATATATACATCATTGCTAGCTATTTTGATTGTAAATTTTTGTAATTTTGGTTGAATGAAAAGAATGAATTGTGCATATACAGAGGCAGTGGCGATCATCAATTGGCCATTGGAATATGATGAATTGGCAACGTAGCAACTTCGTTTCCTCCTCAACCAGACCTAACAACAACAGGCATACTAGTAGTGGAGCCAAGCTTAAATCACGAGCCGACCTTTTCCCTATATATATATTGCTTGGGTTTACAGGGGGAGCGGTCTTCCTTGCTATCAAGAGTGTTACACAACAGCTCTTTCATCACCCTGGGGTTCACGTCAACAAGGCCAACAGAAGCATGGTTCCAGAGGTTGACAGGCCCGACTCCGCCCTTGCATCTGGCGATAAATTCATCACCAAATCGGTCCTCAGGAAAGTGGCTCACATTCAGCAACGTGATGACGTCATCCCCATGGATAGTCGCMCCCCTGACATTTACAAATCCCGCCGGTAAGAAACTAATTAATTTCTTATCCATTCCATTCCATTCCATTCTTAATTAATAATAATTTCTTAATTACAGATCTGATGACTCTACGACCCTGAAAACAGTCGGAGTGGAGCCTCGCCATTGATTTTTCAGCAGATCGATCGACTTTAATTGTTGTTCTGAAATAAGAAGATTTTGTTGCTCGATCTGTTACCTTTCTCTAATGTTGCTTCCATACATAAAACTAATCATGTAAAACTAAAACCTACAACTTTTTTCATTATAAATTCTTGTTGGAAATGTTTCATCATTATCTCGACATTTCATGGTTTAGAAAGTTCATATATATATATATATATATATATATATATATATATATATATATATATATAGGGTATATTTCTTTTACAACCTTGTGTATTTGTACAACCCTTGCAACCCAATTAATTGAGATATATATAGAAATAATGAGAGTTTATTTATTATGATTTGAATATTTATGGAATATGAATAGAGTTCACTAATTATGATTAATACTTTATATTAGGAAACAATCAAAACTTCTATGAAATCACATATTTATCAAATGAAATGGACGGTTGAGATTGAGTTGTATTGGTTGCACAAATGTAAATGGTTGTATAATAACCAACCTATATATATATATATATATAGGGAAGGGTTCAAACGAGAACCCCTGTGATTTACGAAAACGCGAGAACAACTCAATAACCACATATTGTGATAAAAAATAAAATTAAAAGATTTTTAAAATTAAAATTTAAAATTTAAAAAGATTCAAAAAATTTAAAATTAAAAGGGTAATAATGGAAATGATATATTATCTAGAAAACGGTTAGAATCTTTTAAACTTATCATTAAACACAATCAAAATCTTTTAAATTTATCATTATCATCTACAAAACGGTTACGATTACAAGTCTAACTTCAAATCGCAAGAACTACGGACGGCGACGGTGTTGATCGACAGTGACCAACCAAGAACACACAACCGTAATCGACCAAGAACCCTAATCGAGAAGC